GAATAAAATAAAAGTATGAAATCAGTGAGAAGGTTATTCACTTCAAAAAATAAGAAATAAATCATGGAGAAAAGAACATAAACCTTAAAGCAAGCTAAACCTGAACAGGGTATCTTAAAGTTGAAAGGTTTGACAGAAGCCCTTCAACTTGACAAGGATTTACTTGGTTCGACATGACAAATCGTCCAAGAAGATTCCTTACAAGTTTCTCAAGGCCGTGTTTTCTTAGATGTTTTATCGTGCTAGCGGTCGTATTAGATGAACAGTGTGTGACAAGTAATGACAAAATTGTTCAGAAGATGAACAGCCATTTAGCATATAGAAGTTTAACTGACAATGAAGATAACGGCGAATATCATGATTGAAACAACTGCTCGCAACATGAAAGACATTGGTCGGCAAAGAAATCCAGAGCTATACCCAAAGTTTAACTAAGACTTGGATAAATATATTAGAGTGAATATAAAAACTGTGAAACCTAGAATGTTTGTAAGATTTATTGTGAAATTTAGATAATTAAACCCAAGTTTTATAGAAACTAAGAAATAGCACTTATCACTACATTTTAAATAGAATGACACGAATAAAAATTATTTTTGAAAGATGGTTCTGGACATTTATAAAATTTAATAAATTTTTGAGATGTAAAATATTTATCGATGTTCGACGTCGAAATTATTACTACAAAAACTTTGAAGCAGCAGGAGAACTTAACTAAACGCAAAATTTAGGAAGTAAGCAGCTTTCCCAGTAATCGCAAAGTGTCTGGGAGCTTCACCCACATTGTTTAATTTTTTGAAAGCACAGGTCCTAAACCCCCAGTAAAGCTCGGTAGTTGAGGATACTTATATTTTGCCAACGGCGATGCCAATGTCATAGCCACATTATGTCATTGGTCATTCCCCTTTGGTATTGGTGAGCTCTCCCATGGAAGAAGTCATTGGAGAACAGTATAATTTAATAGTATGTATGTTCTTTATTAAGAACCACTATGTAGGTATTTGGAATTATCTGAAGGTTGTGACATTCCTATTGTTTACTTATGAAATGTCTAAGAGTCACTTATATACTCATTATATACTTATTTACTCCATTTACATTTATTTTAATTAAATATTACTTTTCACTTTGTTTTTACATTGTGTTCAGTGCCTTTTTACAACTCAGTCAAAGTCAGAAATTCAAATTTAATTCTACATAATATTTTATGAAGTTTCTCTCATATATTTGCATTATTGTTCCTCTCGATTACTATTCTTACTTTCAAGGTTAACAGAGTTCCAGGGAATGCAATAAAACAAGTGTAGTTTAGAAATGAAGATTAAACATGTTAATACTTTAATATAAGAAAACATATATTGAATGAGTTTTATGAAAAGAACTTTTATTACTGTTTATCTTCTTGTTGGGTGAATTTACTTTGAAAGTTCGTAAAGGATGCTTTTTTATATTCCAAAGCGGAACGTCGAAGAACGAATGATATCAGTCCTTATCATGTAAAGAGAATTGACACTTACTAACTCTACATAAATCAGCTAAAATCAAAAGTTTGTTTATTTGTAATTAAGCACAAAGCTACACAGGGAGCTATCTGTGCTCTGCCCACCACGGGTATCGAAACCCAGTTTCTAGCGTTGTAAGTCTGCAGACATCCCGCTGTGCCACTGGGGGGCAAAAGCAAAAGAACACGGTGTGTAATAAGTTCCATAGCACCATCAACTGAAAACTGAGTGTCGAGCTGTTTCACCTCTCATCATTTCAACTATTTACCAATAAAGTTATTCACAAAAACAAATAATACATAATACCTTTTATGACAAAACAAGTAGAGATAATTCTTTTACATGTTAGATCAAATGAAAACATTTCTTTCACATTAACTGATGCTTTTGTATCAATCTTAATTTCAAGTTGGAGATCGCATAAACAAAAATTCATGTCTTAAAGCTGCACTTTATAGTTACGAATTCATAAAAGGAACTATTTATAGAACTGAAATGAGAAGTTTAATGAAAATTTAAAAAATATATGAAGACAATGAAACCTTACGTTTTTTCGTATTTGTTAATATAGCTAAACTGAAGCAAATGTATAGTTGCATTATTGTATTTCTCTATAGAGATCAAGCCTTACTTAACCCACGTGTTAAAATAGAAATTTGTCATCATTAAAATCTAAATCACCAATACATAGGTCAGTGAAGAAAATACAATAAATTTCTTGGCAGAAACTTATCCTTAGCTTATTAAAGAAACATATGAATTAATAAAGTAGAAATGATTATTCATGCAAAAGTTCCCAAGCAATCTTACTAGTGCTAAAAATATTTTAACAATAGTCTTCAAACTAATAAATAGTGGATAAAATCCCTTAGCTTTGATCATTTTTTCGGATATGCATACATCGGTTTCTAACTCTATCTTGTGTCCATATAGTCGAATATATAATCGATTTCATATCTCTAGTTACTCTGCAAAACACACTCAGTTTAGCTTTACTCCTATACTCTGTACAGGGAAAGATTTTATGGGACTCAAGAATTGAGTACAAAACAAAAATCGGGAGTAAAGGATAGGTTCTTTTTGTCCTTTAAATTTCTGAGAATTTTTTTATTATAATTTTGAAATAGTAGTGGGTTCAAGTATCTCTTTTTGTAACTTTTTTATTTAAATCATTTTTCGGATACAAATCAACAAAAACGTTTTTTTTTTTCCCTTGGGAACGAAAAATTCTGTATAATCAGAAATTAATCGTGAATGGCAAAATAAGTTTAAAAAAGTGAATTATAACAATGTTTAGCTGACGAAATATTAAAACTAAAACAGACAAGTCAAATATTAAAATTTTAAGTGAACATTATTAGTGAAAAAAGCTTACTACTCTTTTTAAAAAATCGTTAATTATTTCCCAATAACAAAAAATAACAAGTTATTGATTTTAGTTTAAAGCCATGACTGCACATTTTTATTACACAATAATACAAACACGGGTGACGTGGAATGGCTTGACCTGGTTTTTAGTTAAATCTTAAATTCATTGCCCTGCATGTTTTTTATTCAATGACCGGAAACTTGAGCATTTCATAAAGTATGAAATAATATATTTCTACTAAACTTTCGAACTCCCTCCCCTTTTTTATTATAAAATAATCAAGTTATCTGATTCAGGTATAGTCTTGGCCAAACTTTTTGCATACTATTCTATATTGATGTTATTGTCTACATGCATGGAGTAGTTATTGAGTAAATGCCCGAGTAGTAACAGAGAAGATAGCGTATGATCGGACAAACATGTACGAGTTGTTATTCTGGTCTGTATAAGTTGTTTTGAGCATTTGTTCGTCAAAACACAGATACACATCTGTTTTGTATAAAAAGTTGTGTGCTTTTGGTATAATCTTTTTCGAAACAGATCAACGCTTTGTGTAGACAATTTCTCTGAAACGGCATTGGATTACAGGAAACGTTTTTCCAGGAATGTCTACTGGTAGACGCAGAAACACTACTGCCAGAGATGACCTGTTTTGATCAGGTTAACACATCAAGGTCAAAAGAAGTCTTGCAATACCTTACAACAGGAATGATATGAACACATTCATTCCATGACATCCAGAAGAATAGTGAATAGGAGACTGACGAAACAAGGTTATTTTGCAAGAAAGGCTATCTTCAAACCAATATTAACCAGAACTTATCACTGTCATCATGTTACTTGAGCAAGACAGCATGCCAATGTATAGTTGTGACACTGGCGACATGTCATTTTTTCTGATGTGTCCTGTTTCCGGGTTGTTAAAGCTGATTGTAGTATTCGTGTTCGTCGTTTGCCTGAAGAAAAGATTAAGGAAGACTTTTTTTCCACAGGGGATGCACAGGAGGTGGTGCAGTACATTTTTGGGCAGCTATTCATTATGGTGAAAAACTGCTCTTCATATCCTCTAGGGAAACGTCAACGGCACCTCCTACAGTCATCACTTGGAGACGATATTTTTGCCATACGCTTGGGCAAGGTCTTGTAATAACTTTGTGTTCCAGAATGGCAATGCCACTTCTCAACAGTCTGCATATTGTACAGGATTATCTCAAGCAGGAGAACGTTACAAGATTGCCAGGGTCAGCAAAGTATCCAGATTGTAATTCCATTGAGAACTTTTGGACAGAACTGAGCCGGAAAATTGATAACCACGACTCTAAATTAGCTACCATAGCTGAGTTGCAGCGCCTTCTAGTAAGAAGTTGGAATGAAATCACGGTACATTACATCAATAACGTCATCAACAACATGCCACGTCACCTTGTGGAAGTTATTAGAGTACGAAGAGGACCAACCAAGTAATGAATGTTTAATATGAACTAATTTAAGGTTACAGACGCTACTTATAATAATTTGGTGTTATATTTTGCCATTATATATGTTTTGATAAGGTTGTGTTCTGATAGGTGGAATGCGGAATTACACATCTTTCTACAGGTGTCTGATAAAATTATTTGTTGTCCTAATGAATCGTTCACGATGTCCATAGAACATGTCTCATTATACAAGTTACATATGTAGATGTTTAATATAATATGCACTTCTCAGTATAACAGTGGTAAGTATATTTGTATTCCATCTTAATAATAATGATCTTATTTGTTACAAAATATGCAAACATTTTCGTCTTTTTTAATTTTGCGCAAAGCTACACAAGGGCTATCTGCGCTAGTCGTCTCTAATTTAGCAGTGAAAAACTAGAGGAAAGGCAACTAGTCATCATCACCCACCGCCAACCCTTTTACCAACGAATAGTGGGATTGACCGTCACATTATAACGCCCCCACGGCTGAAAGGGCGAGCATGTTTCGTGGAATGGGGATTCGAACCCACGACCTTCAGTTGCGAGTCGAGCGCCCTAACCATCTGGCCATGCCAGGCCACAAACACTTTGGCCAAGACTGTATGTCTCTGAAGGTAATTCGACAAACTATGGAATAACTGTTCACTATGAATATCTGATCACTATGATCTACAGTTACATCTTAATCGTCCATGCCGTAGCTGAACATGGGAAACAACTACGTGAACAGGCCAAGAAAATGAACGTCGCTTCACTCGGAGCGAACGCTGACCATCAAAAGCAGAGTGCTGAATGTCGTCTTGCTGAGGTTAGGAAATATATTGTTCAATTACATTTGACTGCAGCTTCACATAGCAAGATAACTGGTTCCATTAGAGTATTTTCTTTAATTACATCCGTATAGATATTAATATCAATGTCTGAATAAAGTCATATAACTTAAAAGCTTAAAAAACTAACCAGTTATGAGGTTTGAGTTAGCCTTTTCTAACCAAGTAGATGAGCAATTAAAAACACTAAATATCTAGCCGATTTTAAGTGTTAAGCCGATTTCTTTCTAGCTAAAGGACTATCAACTGAATCACTGGTGAACCATATGAACCATTATCACCAAATGATACTGCAGAAGATATGCTGTCATTAAAAGCTTGGACGGCTTTAGGTTATTTTTAAAAAGCGTAATGGACACTAAAGGCTAAAATACACTTTGGAAATAAATATGCGAATTATCTCCAGGAATGTAGATCTGTTTTTTTCAACGTTACACTTATAAGGCTTTGATGAGGAACCACTTTAACCTTCAGTTTTATTTATTCCCTGGTGAATCAGCAGTAACTTTACGGACCTACAACGCTAAAATCCGGGTCTCATTTCCCGCAGTGGATAGAACGCTGATATCCAATTGATTAGCTTTGCGCTAAAACAACAAAACTTAGTATTATAAATGGTTCATTGAAAAACTTTCTAAATAAAAAATCAACACTGATGAAGCCGAATAATTTAGTGATATTAAGAATTTTATAAATATAGTTGGAAATAGACTTCGTCATTAACAATCGTAATATCACTAAATAATACCTACATTCATCATTTTTTGCTTAAGACTTTGTAAAGTTATTATGATATTGGCAAACAGTCCTACTTTGATGTTTTTGTTATTACAGTAATTAGTACAAATAGTTTATAATTGCGATTAACTCTAAGTATAGGAAACAAACCATGAAGACATTAAAAAAATCATGCAAAATATGATGACCACACATGTTGCAAAGGCTTGAGATATTTTTTTAAGGACAATTCGACTTTGGAACTTTCTGATTGGGCAAATATGAACCAGAATAACTAAAATTTATTTGTAGGAATTTCTTAATTCACTGAACTCAAAAAAGTATCAAACTCGGACAATTCACTTCAAATATAGCAAGTGAATTTTTTTAGCATCTATTACGTATGTGCTCGAAACACCCGTAGTGTTCACTCACTACAGTTGATATCACAGAAAAGTAAATGCAGGCAAAATTCAGTGAAACAAAGACCATTCCATACAAACTCGTAACAACGTGATTCATATTCTTCTGTGCTGAAAACGAGCACAGCAACCCCACTGCACATGAATACATTATATACACATGAAAGATTCTAATAAGTATCACACTGTGTGCTACACAGAAATTCTGTTTCCATTTGGGGAAAGTGACCTTTACGAAATGTTGGACAATATTTTACCTTATGGAATTGCATGACAGTTCTGAAAGTAAAGATCACAATGCCATTTTGTTGGCTTTAAATCTTGTGATTCACTGACTGTCATGAACATTGATCTAGCAGATAAGCTCAGCCATATCAGTCAGGAGGTCTTTGTCAACTGACAATCATGGCTATCTCACACTTCATCTACATGTGCTTCCTCATCTGAATCATCTCATACAGCAAGGTATGTAATCTCAGCATCAACTGAGTCAAGACGAAACAACATAGTTCTCTCATTATCCTCTGACTCATCCATCTCAACCTCTAATTCCTGGTTAAAGCAGTGCATGAGAGGCTCATCAGTGATGTATGATCTTAGCTTGTGGGTATGTTCTATGCATTACACATGTCATATGATCATTGTAACTCATACATTAGATGGAATAGTTGTCTTACAACAAGATAATGACCTTTGATATCTTAGTTGCCTCCATGCTATTGGCATATACCAAATGCATACAAAGTCTCCACACTGGAACGTTCATTCCTTATTTGTTCTATCATAACATCTCTTCTGTCAGGTTGCAGTCTTTCCTAGTTGTTGATGCACGAACTCGTGTGCATCAACTAACACAAACCTTAACCACTCCACATATTCTTTTGGACACTGTCACACATCTGTTCTAGTGAGTGAACAAACTATCAACCATCCACAGTGCACAGTATTTTCCAACCAAACGTGAACATGTTTGGCAAACAACTAATCAAACTCTGTTCTGTTGCTTGGTACACCACCATGACGTATGAGAAATATTCATCAAAGTCAGTTATGCCAGGATTAATAAACTTTGCAAGTATCAACTTTATGGTTTGTATTACCTATCTGTTAAACGATCATGGTAGAGGTGATCAGGAAAAGTGAGCGTATTCATCAGACTTAATACTTTACACACTCAGGAAATAACTGACTATAGAAATGAGCTCCCTGATTCATGGAGATTTCCTCAGGTGCACTAAATTAAGATAACTAATACGTCATTGAAATTCTATGTTGAAGTATTGATCAGTGAATAAGCTTCAACCCACTTAGTGTAGTAATTGATAATGACAAGCACATACAAATTACTTTGTTCATTTTCCAGGAGAGAACAGTGATATTCAGGGCTATGTTTCCGCAAAGGAGAACCAACAATTATCTCCTGGAGTTTACCCTGTTTAGGCTGCCTCTTGGCAGTACACGTAGTACAATATTTACACCACAGCTTAACATCATAACTCAAATGTGTTACAAAAATCTTCCATTGGTGGATCAGTGGTAAGTTTATGGACTTATACTGCTAAGCTCCGGGGTTCAATTCTCTATGGTGGACAGTGTATAGATAGCCAATTGTGTGGCATTGCTCTAAAACAAACAAATAAGTAGAATACTATGTTAGCTACCCATCTTTGCACTATGCAAAGTCTGGTTTAGAGCCTTGCGTCAGTTGTTGATAATGATGGTACAGTAAACCATCCTGCCATATATAGTTTGTTTGAAGATAAGCACCAAGCAACACAAAGGGCTATCTGTGCTCTGCCCACCACGGATATCGAAACCCGATTTCTAACGTTATAAGTCCGCAAACATACCGCTGTGCCACTGGGAGCACCATATATAGAGACAAATTGTTTGCATTTCCATGTTTAAAGCCTATACAATGCTGTACAAAAAAGTCATACTGCAACATTGGGTATCAATGTGCGATAATTCCTCCTGGGCTTTCAAGTTCATGAGCTGCTTCAGCAATGCGTTGTACACCCAAATGATGAATTTTATACTATACAGATTGTATCAGTACTATCTGACAAAGACCAAACATTCAAGCAGTTCTTTATCATGCAACATCTGTATTAAAGAGACAAGGGTGTATAACTAACACATGCATAGACATCTTCCATTCTCTCCTGTACCCAAATTCCACTATTTCTAACATCAGTATCTAAACATTAAATCAGTCTTATTATGGGTATGCAAACACTGAAGTCTCAATTAAAGCACACTTTAGTGACAGGAATTATTTGTCACATTCTCTGATTAATCTAAAGTGTGCCTCTGCCTCAGTGAGAGCCAATATCAGTGTGGTACCTCAGGTACCATGTCTATTGGCTCTGCAGGTTCCCAGGTTCTCAGTGACATTTGGCAACCCTAGTAGTATATCTTCAATCATGAAGAGACACACGACTGCCTTGTGAATCTTATTTACCAAAGAATGCTTGCTGTCTTAATTGTCAGCAGTATAGCTTAAGCTGGCAGACGTCACTTACCAGTAGCACCCCAGTTTCTGTTGGCTAGAATAGGGTGGCAACAACCAGAGTGAGGATTGAGCAATCCTGGCTGATGAATGCCCAAAAGCCCCGTATAGACCACTCCAGGGTCAGTGGGTCAGTCCAATAAATAAAGAAGGTAGGATCTAACCTTCAGACGAAAAAATTGAACTCTTTAAAGTTCACCTTAATTTTTGTGTGAATACAAGCATATATAGTTTTAAAAGTAGAACATTTTTTTGAATGTCACCTTAGGTACACAGTGAGTTTTACGACAACGCGAAATACACTTGTGATGCTGGCACAGTTGTCCTCTTATTCTGAACTGTGTACTGGAAGGAAAACAATTTGTTAGCAGCACCAGCCGCCTGAAACGGCTACTCTGAACCGAACATGAATGTTGACTGTCACTCTCATAACACACTTATATCTAAAAGTGTAAAGCTTTGATAACACACGTCTCGAACTTAAGACCATCGGATCTTCATTTCGATATGCTTAGCACTAAGATACTCTTTGGCCTTACTATACTGTATATATAGTAAACAGTGCATGATACATATATAGGTATATATGCCTCTACAACTCATAAAATCATGATATGATTTTTTACTTATGTTTCAAGAACATGTGTTTTTAATTTGTTGTATTGTTGCGTTAATAGTAGGCAATTAAGATTTGAATTTTGACTTTATAAATAAGTGATTCAGTTGTTCTGTACATTAAAAAGGACGGTAAATTGTCACCTTACCACATTTCTAAACCTATTACTAGCTTTAAAAACCACTTTACGGAATACGGATATTTGAGCAAACTTTTAAAAATTATTTGGGGGTTAATAAACTATATGGTGCTATACAAATATAAATATTTTTGGGGGACAAAAGTACTTTTTACTTAAAATTTAATAAATTCAACCCTTCTGTTTCTTAATGAATATAACTTACATCATTGTTATGCATTCTAGTATTGTAAGCCTTCTGGACTCAAAATGCCTTTGCAATTTTGTAATGTGTTGTGAAAAAAAAAGAAAATGAAGAACCGTTGTTAATGATAAATATTAAACCTGAAATATATAAGGATCATGCACTCGAATTTTCGGGAAAGAGTATTAGGCTAACTTTATGTCGTATATTACTATCGGTTGATTTTTTATGATGTGACATCTCAGCATTTGAAACTTTCTTATCTGTTATTTTGATAACTTCGTTTATATCTATATACATTTTCTACCTTCTAGTAACAAAATCAGTACATTATTCCTTTAAATGTCAGTTTTCACCATATAATTTGTTAGAAGTACAACATTATATT